TTTAGTATTTTTCCCCAATACATCATGACCTATGACCTATTTTTGAAGGTCATGCTCGTCAGATTTCCAACGATTTCGATTACATTTATATTATATATAACATATCTTAACTTTTTCCTACATATAAGCCCAGCTACCAAAGTGTTACATTGCTGATATTTTACCACAAAGAACGATAGCTAGACATTCTAATAAATTATCATGCGCGGCATTTAGCAGACAACAGTGGCATATTTTGTGAATCTCTTCCGAATTCCTTAACCTGCAAATGAAAGGCTTCTGAATTGGCTTTTCGCCAGGCTTTTGAAGAAGAAAAAACATGCTCGATGCACCTAAGTGTTGTGTCTAGCCGTCGACAAGTACGTCCAGGGAGGATAGTTCCCTCTATAAAAAATAAAAAGATAGGTGTCTCCAAATTTCCGACCAAAGTCCAGAGCACTTGAGGGATCGAACACCATGCGAGTTCGTTGGTCACGTTCACAGCATATTCAGATTCGTGCTCTGATCGATGTTCGCCCATAGTCAACAGGTGACGTTCCAGGTACCGATAATGGCCTTAAATGAGCCATATTGCAAATCAAGATATGTCCTCGTCAGTATAATTTCCAAACATCGGCACATAAAGTAATTGCACAACAGCCAGTATGTTCCTTGTTTTTCAACTTTTAAAATGTCAGGCTTCAGGGTCTGGGTCAAATGAAGAGCTTCAACTTCACAGAAACATCAGCACAGGCGAACTATTCCTTGCAGTGTATGTTACATAGTTCCAGAACAGGTAGCTGCCATGGTGAACAAGGTGTCTTGACGGAAAAAGTCTTAAGCGGGTAAAACGGAACCTGTGAAGATAGGCCTGTGGGGTCATGCGTGCTTTGCATGGCCGTACAGTACAGGCATTAATTTTTGGAATGATCAAGCAAACCTTATTTGAATTTGTTGGCACGATTTAATTTGCCAATCATTCGGATTGCGTGCATTTCGCCTTTGCCAGATTAGAGGAAGTGTTTCACATGTGCATGGGGTTTTAAACCGAAATATCCATCTTGAAAAACTTTTGGTACTTTTCACCATCCCACCCTTCTTAAGACCCACGCCCTTCTAGTTTCTAAGATATACACCCGTGCAAATTGGGAGAATGTATATAAGGGAGAGTACTTCGAGGTCGCCTTAGCGTTTATGACGTCATAATAACGTCATTTAAACTTCTGTCATTCCATAGGTCATGCGGCCATCAAGGCCAAGAAAAATGTAATTGTCGAGGGGCCCATATCTAGCGTTCGTGAGCGCGATTTCCAGACATAACTGCCGTCAATGGGCTCTCATTCAATGTTGTGGAAGGTACGATGACGTGGCCAAACCGTGACGTATTTAGCGACATATTCACTAAACACAGAAATGTGCTGTCTACAGCAGTCTTTTCCCACTTAAAAATATGTCATTAGTTATAAGTGAACTTGTTTCATCATATCTAGTGTTTGCTTTAATATATTCAAGCGTGATACATTCCATTTAAGATTCCAATTGTGCATGAGGCCAAATCTTTCCTATGTTTGTCATAGGATAACCACTGAGCTACGACGAAGCCATCAACGACATTTGGTGTCATATGATGAACCGTTTCAAATCACTAGTATTTAAAGTTCTTTTATTTCACTAGTATTTTAAAGACATCTACCAGGTCAAATGAGGCCATAAAGTTCTATTATGTGATGCAGTAATGCTCAATGTAGATGTTATGCAATATTGTGCAAGGCTAAACGGACGCACTCCAGCTGTATAACACAGATTGCAGCTGCAATCTCAGATGACATGACACCGCCACATGCTGCATGCAAGCACCAGGAATTTAAGGTCACCTGTTCAACCTTTGCAAGATTAGTGCCACTTGTATGAAGGTAGCCATACGCAGAGTGATATAGAAATAAACAAACACAAATACAGTACGTCTGCACGAACCACGGGCCAAAAGATGCTTGTCATCACTTTCTAAATGTAAAGAAATGATTAACCGCACGAAGATAGCTTTATTTGAAACATCTGCAGCAATGCAAAATCATTGACCGAACCAAATGACACGTCGCTACAAGACATGGTCACCCTAATGTGTGCCAAGTCTACGTAAGCGGGCACCGCCAAGATGTTCACTGACCTGATACCGGACTGGACTGTTGCTCTCGCTCACGGAAAAGTTGACCTACTCTTTCGTTTCGCGAAGCCTGCATGCCCTTTCGTATGTTGTTTTTTACATGTATTTACCAGAGAAACCAAAGTTACAAATATCGCAGCGTCCACGGATGGGGGGGGGGGGGGGGTGCAGATATTTTGAGACCAAAGTGACTACTGTAGTGGTGTTAAGCAGCGCACTAGTGGTGAGCTCTAGTGCCAGAGGCGAAAACCGCGCCGAATACTGCACTAGCAAGGCAGAATTCCTGCTAAAGTTTTCTTGCCAAGGGGAACAGTTTCTTCATCATTCCATAACTGTCAGCTCAACCTGAACTTAAATACTAATAAAATGCAAGCAGGTGAGGACTTGCGACATTTTCGGATCACTACTTCCTTATGTCATTTGCACAACTCGGTAAAGGAGATTTCACGGCATGGCCGTTGAATGAAAACCGAAAAGTCCAACTGTACCTGACACCATGCATCAGTCCGTAAGCGTGGTGACAAATATTAGCTGCAATGAAGTGATATAGCTTTGGAGGTATGTAGACGACACGGTTTGACATGACAACGACACGGTAGCCGATTACAGACTGCCTACCACTAGATAAAACGCACACTCAAGCAACACACGAAGGCACCCTGCCGCATCGTTACATGTCAGCCGCTGCCATTTGCTTGGTGACGACAGTGACGCTGCAGCATACGTGGTGAGTAAAGGGTGCGAGAGGCGATTTTCCGAAATAATAGCGAATATAGGTCAACAAATATTACAATTTGCATTTTCTGTGTGAAAAAGCCGTTTAAGTTGAACATCTATTATGTAAAGAAAAAGAAATCAGCAACATTTATATTGTCAATGAAAAAAATATCACCAAAACGGAAACAAGGATTACAACTTAGCCGTTTTCACGATATATCAATGCGCTTAAATTTTTCTTAAAAAGCTGTTTCACGTGTTTGTTAAAAGTTTTAGTATACACCAAACCTTCTAACAACAATAGGGCTGCTTTCATGCAAATCTATAAACGTGCATTAGGTAAACCAAATACATCCAACTAAAAGTCAGTTTGTTAAACGAGAACGAGACCCTTTATAACATGTATTCAGCCTATGTCTTCAGTTTGCCAAAATTATAAGAACATACTAAGCCTGGCAAACAGTAATATACATAGGTCAAAGGCGTTGGATGCCGTCGCCCCATCATTGTTTACATATGTATTGTGTGGAGCAAGGCGGGCGTTGAGGGCTATATCATTCAAGGATCATTTATCTTGGATCATGCTAACACATGCCCGGGAGGCCGGTTTGATATCCTTCTCTCGGGTGGGAGTCAATTTGACCCCCTGAGACCTCAGAAACAAGAGAGCTGGTTCCTAGGTGATGACCTTCGGGTCAAATGAGGTCAAACAAGGTCAACCTCCAGGTTGGTGTCTAGAGTGTCCCCAGAACCTAAAAACCTCTTGTATGCAAATGTTCGCATCCTCGTTTAAGGTCAGCGACCTTGTTTAACCTTTCGAAGGTGGCAGTGACCAAAATCATGCAAGACTGTTTTCAGTTTTGCATTTAAATAAGCGGCAACGACTACGCTAGGCAGTATGTTCCTAAAACAAAATGTTGACTTGAGTCGCTTCAGCAAAGTGACCTATTCTGACCTTTGTTAAGTCCATGGAAGGTGTACAATGCAGTACTTGTCACCAATGAATTTGAAGTGAGCACCAGAAAGTTCCCCAAACTAGCCCAAGAGAAATAAGACAGGTTGGTTTTGACCTTGGTCTGACTGCCATGCCTGACCCTAGATCAATGGATTTTTCGCTGAATTGTTGTGTGGCCTACGAAAGCATGGCAGAGATGCATGGCTTTGTCCATCATTTCGTTGTTGCATCAGATTGAACGATTCCCAACAAATTAACGTCTCTGAACCCATGGCCTGGATTTTACCTGTTCTAGGTCAGTTACCTTGTCAGCATTGTATGCCTTTACACATGGACGCTATAATTATACAGGGGTTTGTTTTGTTGCGTCTGCGTCAAAAATGCCACAGACTGTTTTTAATAAGTCTTGAAAAGTTTCTGTCGGAAGAGATCTGGAATCATAGCTGTCCATAAAAACATGAGAGCCTCATTATTACCTGGCTTATAGCTAACTAACCACAGTTTATTAAACGATGCGTCTTTAAAAAAAAACATGTTTTTGAATATCTACGACGCATTTCTGGCCGAAAATCGCTGACAAAGTTGTGTGGTTAAAACGAAAAATGCTTTAAATTTTTTTAAAAACAAAAAATATTGTACCGTAACTCTTTGTGCGAAGCGGCTAGTGAAAAATGCCGCCTTACTACCGAAAGAAACCAATGACATGACGTCGAGTGATGCGTGCAACCTTGTGTTCACCCAATTTTGGGCTCGGCGCTTTACAGGTAAACACCGTGTGACTGTGTTGGCGGTGTGCGCAATCACTGTGAGATTCCGTGTGGGCTAGCCTGGAGTTTATATTGCGATCACAGCATTACTGAAGGTACAGAGATTCTGCTTGCGGTGAAGCATGTCGACTATTTTTGATGTTGGCACATTTGACGTTCCGTCGCTTTGTTAACGCCCGTTGTATCTAAATTTGTGCTCATGTCCGTCTGGAAGTTCTAGCCACTAACCTTCAGTCCCAGGTGCAAATTGGAAAGCTGACGCCTTCCTCGTGCAAGGGGCTCCCGCTCACACAGAGTTAAGTTCCTCGCAGTTGCCGCTTCTTTAAATCCATGTGAAAATGTCATCTAAAAAAACATCAAGAACATGCATGGCCATTCTAGCATTGGACTTAGTGCCAACTTTATCACAGGCACGTACATGGTTTTCGTCGGAGAATACGTTGAGCAGGAAGGTCTGCAGTAGCCCGCCATCGAACGCCTCCAGGCACTGGACGGTGATGGTGGCGCCGGTATAGTTGGAGATGGAACAGTTGTACAAGGGGTCGGGCGGGCCTGGAGAGACAAAACAACATCATCATAACCGCAATAAATTAAAGCCGACGCGAAGTGCGACTGGCGTACTGCGTTTTCTCGAAATGCACCCCAAAAAACGGCATAGCAATGCAAAACTGCTGATGTAAATAGAGAAAATATAAATGATCATTCACTTGGACGAAGGAGCAATTGTTTTAGTTTGTTCAGTTTGTTCAATTGTTCAATTGTTCAATTGTTTCTTGAAGCACAATTGTTCTTACGGGCAGTGAACTTTTTGAAAGCCAAGCATCATGGCACACTGCCTATTATTTTTAACGCACGCTTTCGATATGTTCGGAAACGTAATTCAATCATTCTTTTTTTAAGTAGCACTGGCCAGCTTATGTAACATTGCATTCTACATCATTGTGTTGAAATAGAAAACTTCAAAAATCCCAACACATCCTGTGTAGTTTTCATTGACGTCACCACCACACTTGAGAATCATAACGGTATACGTGGGCCAAGGTTTCAAAAAAGGACCCCGGGACGTTCACGCACAGCAGCCACATCGGAGTCGCCACGGTAGCGAACGGCGAGGCAGCTTGCGGTCCTTCTACGCTCCGCAAGATGCCGTTGATTTGTACGTATGAATCCAAAGTACAAAACGGCCGTTACACACATGCGTTTTCGCCGTATCTCGTGGGACTAACAATTTTTTCCGTGGTGATATTTCCCTTGTTTGCATTTTAATTTTCGGTTGCGGCGTTATTATTGGCTTATTCGACTAGCAGCCCCATGATAGTCACTTCAAATGCTTGCCCAAACCTCTGTGTTATGTTAAGGCGAAGGACAGTACGTGATCGAATCATGGCCAATTGGGTTAGGTGTTCGCGTAGCGTTTCTATGTCATAGATGACTGGGTGTGTGCCATAAGCGGCGCGTAATAGGCTACACAACTCACGTGCATCAAGGTAAGAAAGGAAGATTTGAAGTACTATTATGGACACTGCTGTGAACTGCAGAGAAGGATCATGGAAATCACTATCACAGTTTAAAGCACCTTGCAAATATGGAGCAATCCCTTTTACGGGCCCAGCATCACTTTTTGATGGTTTTCTATGAAAAAACAGAAATAGGTTAATAAAGCTACTGAGGTACGGATCTTATCGGCGTCAGTAGTGGCTACTTGCACGGATATGACTTACATTTGTGTCACAAAACCGAATGGAGATTACTACAGAGTGGCGCAATATATCCGACATTTTTTACGTTATCAAAACCAAGGACTCTACAAAAAGCACTGACAGTATTCTTGGACGATTGTGTTATTGAAGTTAATTGAAACTCGCCCTGCTGCCCGTGCCACCACAAATAATACGGTGGAAGCTGAGACGGTGTCTTGTAAGCTCCATTGCGGTAATAGGGAAATACAGATTGATGGAATCTCACTCAGCATTGTTCATGGCGCTATATTTTGCATCTTCTCCATTTGTGCGTTTCTCGAGTTCTCTGATTTCGCTGATCTGGTGTGCACAAGGATTAACTCTTGATTTTTGCACAAGCCATAACACAAAAAAAATCAGGCGTACAGCTTTTGTACGCACACCGACCAAAACATAATGACGTTTTCAACTGGCGTATCTCACCGGCAGCTATGACGTGGAAGACACAGGGCAGGGCCATCCTGCCGATGTCGTTGGTGGCCCAGCAGAAGATGGTGCCGTAATCCATCTCAGTTCTCGGCTGGTAGGTGAGCATACTGCGTGTCTCGCTGCTGTTGACCAGCCTGCTATCCAGCTCTGTTATTTCGGACGTGTTGTTGAACGTCCACAGGAAGTGCAGGCGCGATGGATTGGCTGTGACGTCACACAAGATGGCGACCTGCTCTCGCTTGGCCACGCCGTAGACGCGCGGCAGACCGGGCCGACACACGGGAGCAACTGCAACAATGCAACAGATGCACATTAGATTTAGAAAACTATCAGAGAAGTGCGCGATATATCATGCAGCCTGAACATCATTCTGACCATGCCCACAATAGAGCTTTTTGCACCCGAGATTCAGAAAACTATCAGAGAAGTGTACGGTACACCGTGAGATTCAGAAAATAATCAGAGAAGTGTACGGTACACAATGAGATTCAGAATGTATCAGAAAAGTGTACGGTACACTATGAGATTCCGAAAACCATCAGAGACGTGTGCGTTTCACCATGAGATTCAGAAAACTATCAGAGAAATGTACGGTACGGTACACCATGAGATTCAGACAACTATCAGAGGAGTGTACGGTTCACCCTATGGCCCGAACATCATTCAGACCATGCCTAGAACTCTTCGCGGATTTAACCCGCGCCCGGCAGGAGCAGGGGAGTTGACTTGCACCACGGTTTTTCGAGCACAGGTAAAAAATACCAACACGAATTTTACCAGCACCTATTTGCAGTACATGCTTGACTGTCAATTAGCAACAGAGTGTTCCAAGCCTTCGTAGCATTTATTACACAGCCATTGTGACACATAAGTGTGTGGCACATTTCAGAACACACACGTTGGAAAAAGCGAGGCAAATGGAAATAATTACTTTTCTTGTGGTGAGCAGGTGGTCAAATCGAATCTCACGCAGGCTCGGATACTTCAAAACCAAATTCAGAGCTATTTGGAAGTATTTCGAGAAAACTGATTTACGGATCAAATTGTACGTGTCTGGTGTAACAATGAATGAAAAGTACACAAAAGGTGGGATAATCGACTTAAGAATGGCAGGGCTGTGGACTGCACTAAATTATCTTCAAAATGGCTATTTCAGTTCAAAATCCCACATAAATGTGGAGCATGCCTTCAAAGACGGTTTGTCTTATCAGCTGTTATCTGTCAGTGAGGTCTACCATAAATTATACGGCTTGTAGTCTTTCTAGTGTACAATTCTGTATTTTCATCGGGCATGAACAACACCAGTGTTTTTTTCATCGTTCTCACTGTGAGCCAAATTTCCAACGCAAGCCATATAGGACCACGGCCAAGACACCCTGGACGGAAATATGAGCACATGAAATTGCATATCAAGTTAGCAACAATCAAGAAACAACATTTTCGGATGATAAATTAGTAACGATCAAGACCGCTTTTTAACATGAAGGTGCACGGGAAATCAAGAGATCTCGGCAAATGCACAAATGCCCGGAGTGAATGCTCAGATTGCTTTAATCCGCGCCAGGCCGGGGGAGGGAAGCTAACTTACTCCTACGGTTTTTCGAGCACAGGTAAAAACAAACGCTCAGGGCAACAGGGAATTTTCAGTACATGTTTATCTACCAATTACGCATCCGTTGTGCCAAGTTGAAGATTTTTAACCAATCTGACCTGACCTTGTTCACTGATCTACAAAAATCAGTGAACCAGGTCAGGTCAAACAGGTCAGCCTCTCAAGAAATTTGACCGTGTAACTTATACGTAACTTACGTAACTTTACCGTGCGTCATTTGCCAGTAGTCAAACTAGTTACAGTACAGGCACATGATAGTATCTACAATTTGTTTGCTTCAAATTTTGGGAGAATGTGAGGTCAGTGACCTGAACTGCGGTCAATATTCCCTTTTTTCGTAACTAATGAAATTCGGTATTTTTGTGCGCACTTTTTTGTGTTTTGCATATGAGGAAAAGAGCACCAACTTACATGCAATACTACCACATGGCCGCAGAGCACATTAAATTGGCCCAGGTGATGACCTATCTCTGTGAGACCATCCGCAAAGCTCATGCTGAGCTCAAAATACGGAATTTTAAGGGACATTTTTTGGTACGCAGAATTCAAATACTTCAATAAAAACATGTCGTGATATTATGCTAATGCAAACCAAGGCTCCCATAGGTCATATGAGGACATGCAAGGTTATATGAAGTCGTTCAACATCAATGACCTATGTTGCCAGCAGCAGAAAGACTAGATGAACGAGTGCGACGTGTGTAAACACTTCCTTGCATTTGTGAAGCTGACGACGTTTAATTTCATGTACCTACATACATGTCCTCAGTTTGTTACAAATACATTGCCACGCGTCGAAGAACTATGTGTAATGTACACAACTATGCGACCTTGAGCACCTGTGAATGTTTACCACAGTATTTTTGACCACAGAAAAGTGTTGTACTAGTAACGTAGACCCAGTTAGCACTCCAAATTTTTTCAACATGTTTGTTTCTGAAATAGTTTTGTCCCGCAGCTGCATCCAATAAAACAAATTTAGTCAAAAGCACATGGTGAAAAAAGGTACCGTTCTTGTAGGCCACTGGCACAGCAGTTTTGGGCGGTGAGCTGACCTAACCTGATCCATAAGGGAAACAAAAATGGTCGAAGTGGACTTTTCACTGTCTTAACGCTTATTTTCAAGCCATTAATATCCGTCTTCACGTACAAACATACGTTTAAACTGAATCTATCGCAACGGCCGTTTTTGACCTTTCATTGCCTCTGGTGTCATCACGCTTGACATGAAGACAAAGATATGGAGTGTATTCTTCATTACCTGATGAAACATGTAAAGCGTTTTCTTTGTTTTTCTTATTCGGCGTGTGGAAATTGGGGGTCGCCAACAAAGGCCTGTGAGCGGCGGTGGGAAGCTACTAGCGGTGAGCCTGACCGAAGGAGTAGCGGGCTGCGCCACCGTGGACGAGACGCGAGGGAGCATCGTCCGAATAGGAAGCCATCGCCCTGGAGTCAGACCAGGAAACGAGTCCCGTCCAGCTTTGGTGCAACGGATGTCCGCCCAGTGTCGCGTCAGTGCCAGGCTCATGACGCATTAACGCTTCATTGGGTGTTTCAAATGTGTCAAATAAATTTAATTTGGCGCAACGACGCGTCGCGCAGACGTGCTAACCATAATGTCAAGGCGTTGGATAAAGGGGAAGGGGGCCAGCCTAGGACCAGTTGGGTGACGGCGCCAGCGGATATGTATGCTTGGACTGAACGCGATGGGCGCCGAATATACGAAGTCTGCATGGATTTGTTAAAGACGAGGACTTTAAAAAAAGACATTTTGTGAGAAGCCAGGGTTGATAGCCAGCGGGTCTTTGCCAATGAAATGCGAGTTGCGTGGGATCCCCGTCAATTTAAGCGTACCATAGGATTCAGGACGGTTCATTTCGCTCAATACATCTGGTTTTGGTTTTGCCTCTTTTAACTATAATCACCTGCCAAACAGGCGGAGGTGGGATACCTTGGTAAAGTTCGCACAACCATGTACAGGGAGACAGCCGTTCATGGTGCCTGACCTGACCTACCATCCAAACAATGTCCCGTTCACCTGCTTTGTCCGAGCTCTGTGGCTCACATGAGTGTGTTGATATCGGGTGTGCTGGGGTTCACAACATGCCGAGTTATGCGAGTAACATCATCTGGCTCTTATGCCGACCAATGAGCTCTCAGTTATGAATTTGCTCGTGTGAGGAGGCGTGACGGCGGCAGCCGGTGACGCAGAGCACAACTGGCAGCCGGGCAGCGGCACATCGCACGCACATCCCACCACAGAACCACCATCCGCACACCCGCAAGAAAGCTTCTCTTGGCTGTACAAGATAAGGTAAAGGGTGGGCTTTCAGGTCCCAAGGTTTTCTCAAAACTCGACGCGAAAAGCGTTTTTGGCATCTAGAGCTCACCAAGCAGGCGAGTCTGCTTACGAAGATCCCAACACCCTTCGGTAGATGGGGTTCGTGCCGTTTACCATTTAGTCTTTGCGTCTCCGGCGAGATATTTCAGCACCATCTGTGTGGGGCTGTGGAAATTCTCGATGGGGTCATCTGCACGACAGATGACATTGTTGTGACTGGAACTGAACGGTCTGACCATGATGCCGAGCTGTGTGACCGCCTGCAGCGCGGCGTAGATAAGGGCGTCATATGGGTCATAACGAGTGTGTATTCTACTCTCCAAAGATTGCATTCCTAGGCCATGTAATCACTGCTAAATGCGTCTCGACTAACCCTGGCAAGATCCACGCGATCATGGACACATACCTCCCCCGCAGAACGTTCACGAGGGTGCGTCGCCTCTAGGGTATGCCACAGTCTTAAGCCAAGTTTCTGCCACATCTCCCTGAGGTCGCTATTCCGTCCCGCAACCTGACCCGAAAGGGTCCGCCTTAGGTGTAGACGGACCCTGGGGATGAGGCCTTCCGTCATATCAAGGACCTGGTGTCCTCTGTCCCGTACTGGCACTCTTCGCCCCGATTTGGCGCTGATTGTCCAAGCCTGATGCGTCACAAAGCGCGCTCGGTGCTGTTCTTATTCGCGATGGAAGATTCATCGCGTGGGTCTCCCGACCCCTTACATACTGTGAGAAACGCTACGCATAGATGGGAACGGTGTGTTTGTTTATGCTGTACGCTCTCGATCCTTTTTATCTACGTACCTATGGCCGTGAGGAAACCGTGGAAAATAGTCACAAGCCTCACTTCGGTGCAGGCGGAACTGTTGCACCAAGCCAGACAAATAGTCTACCGGCACGGAATGGGCCGGGACTGGACTGGACGGGGCCTGGGCGGCACTTGACAGATAGCGAGCTCCTGTGATAAGTGGGCTGTGTTTCAACTCCGGCAGCAGAGAGAACCGTTGCAGGCCCATAGCCGTGGGAATGGGTCATGGATAAAGGTCGAGTCGACCCCCTCGAGCATGTCAACAAAATGTACTTAGTCATTGTTAACATCCTGAGTGGGTAGTTCCATATACATTATTTGTGATCTACTAACTTCGTCCACCACTTTCCAACTCAAGTGCCATTTCGCAAGCTATGACATCACTAAAATGATAATGAGAGACCATGGTCGTCGGTTCGTTCTGCACGAGTTGCATGTTTTCTGCTCTACGTGGGATGAGGACTATTGCACTTCGTCCGCGTACCACATTCGGTCAAACTGTATGGCGGAGTCCGCCGTCAAAATCACTAA